CAGCCTGGAACGGATGCTTTGTCGAATCTCTTTTCCAGAGCAATGGTCCATGCAGGGAATGTGGCTGAGGGGGAGAGTTACCCCTGGACCTTAAGGCTCACAGTAAATCCATAAGCCTCTTTTCCCATCACACAACGGGGTTCTGCCCTACTCCCCTCTCCTGGTAGCTTTGTGTGCTCCCCTTCCCCTGGCATCTCCTTAAGGTGATTTCACCCCATGAACCAGGAGGGCTGGCAATTGCATATGAAGGTGCTCAATGGGTACTTGTGGGAAGAGCTTTTGGCCAGACTGGAGGCATCTCGAGGGCAAGAACCATGTCAGAGTCACCTCCTAGTCTTTGATTGACTTGTATGAGTGACAGCCCACATCCCCAGCCCCCAGAGCACAGCACCTTTGGCCATGAACTCCGTGATGATGTAGATGGGCTCCTCTGTGACCACTGCGTGCAGCTTCACCAGCTTGTCATGCTGTAGAGTTTTCATCAGGTTGGCCTCTGCCAGGAAGGCCTCCACAGACATGCTACCCGGCTTCATCGTCTTCACGGCCACCTTGGTGTGCTTGTTGTAGGTGGCTGAGTGGGAGAGAAAGCAGGAAGGTGGTCGGAACCCACTGCTCTTTTCCCAGAGCCCAGGAAGGCTCAGCTGCAGACCTGCCTCCTCCACAAAGCCTTCCATGCCCATCTCAGCCCTTAGAGAGGGATAGGCTTTGGCTCAGACAGATGTGGGTTGGAAAGCTGATTCGCCCCTTCCTAGCCGTGTGCCCTTGGGCAAGTCACTTAACCTCCCTCAACTGTGGTTTCCTCATCTGCAAAGTAGAACTGATAAGCACTGCCTTTGAAGGGCTGTTGTAGGGGTTAAAGAATAACCTCAAAACATCGCTCAGATTATGTAACTCACTCATACACACACCACCTTTTCTTAAAATGCTTGAATCTTAACCCTGCTCTCAAAATACATGCCAGTCCCACCGGGGCCTGCAAGGCCCTGTGTGATCTGGCCTTGCCCCTCACCAGCTGCATCATCCACCAAACTCCCCCTTGACTTGTGTGCACCAGTCAGCCTGCATGTCACTCAGCCCCTCAAGCATCCCCCCCCAAGAACTTCACATATGTGTCCCTCACCCCACCCCTACATCTTGTCGATGATCTTATAAATCTCTTAACTGTTTTCGTGTTTCCATTTTTGCCTTGGCTGTCAGGAAGCTCTAATCCAAATTTGAGGTCTTCCTGTAGTAAGCATCTAAAGCCTCATATAATATATATATATATATGTAAAATATATCTTTATTGATTTTAGAGAGAGGAAAGGAGAGGGAGAGAGAGAGATAGAAACATCAATGATGAGAGAGTCATTGATCAAGCCCGCAACCGGGCATGTGCCCTGACCGGGAATCAAACCCTGATCACCTGTATCCTAGGTCGATGCTCAACCGCTGAGCTACGCCCAGCCGGGCATATAATATGTTTTTGTTTTCTAACTCATTACTCAGGTCTGTCTTGCCTTCTCAATACTTTCTCTGCCAAATCCTCTTATTCAGTGCCTGGATTATAGCAGCCTCTCAATAAATGTAGCTGAAATAGGTGAATTTTAAACTTTTTTCCTGACTAAATTGTTTGCAACTCTGTAAGTTTTGAAGCATGGTGGGTGGAAACACAATGGGGTGCACCAGGCACTGGGCCAGGCATTGCATCGACCCCACAATTCTGCAAAGCAGGCATTGCTGTTCTTAAGTTATTAGGGGCAGGACAGCAGGGGTGGGACATGCCTTATGGGTGCCCCACAATGCCTTGGCATGGCACTAGGCACACAGCGGGTGCTCAGAGCAGCTTGCTCATCAGTTGCCAACACTGAACTCACCCGGAAATCTCCAAGCTGATTTCCACATTCTTAATTTTCATCACCCTAAGAGGCCTCTGGTAATCTCACCCCCAAACTGGTAGACCGTCTGGGCTCCATGTCAGGGGGAAGATTCCTCATCCAGGACTCCTGTTTCCCAGAAGGAAAATTTTGACCCCGACAGGCCTGGCCTCAAAGGTGAGTGAGTGTTTGCATGGCAGGACAATTTGGTTTGCTATCAGAGGAATTGCTCTTTATGGCTATTATTCAAATCTCCCCTTCTGCCCTTGGTGACATTCCTAGTTTGTCTCAGGCTGTTCCTGGAAGCAATGACTTCCCTCTTTTCTCCCTCCCGCCACCCTCTGGCCCTAGGTCCTTACCCATCCAGACTTCCCCAAACTGCCCGGCTCCAAGCTTTTTCTCCAGTTTGAGGGATTCCCGGGGGATCTCCCAGGCATCTTTCTCCCATGGCTTCTGGGGCTTGGAGGACACGCAGGGCACCGTCAGCTTCTGGCAGAGTCCATCGCTCCCTTCTGCAACAGAGCTGCCTGTTAGTCGAGGGCAGCCAGCTCTGAGCCAGCCAGAGGCTTCCCCTCAGAGGCCTCCCCGCCTGGTCCACTGCGTCTGGCCAACGTTCCAGTGGGTGGCCATGATCAGGGACATTCCCAAGAGAGCAGAGCACACTGAGATGCCACCTCTGCCCTCCTTCTCAACAGGCCTAAGATTTCAGGAGAGTCCAAAGCAACTGTTTAGGGAGGGTCAGAAAGAGCACAGCAGGCTTCGGAGGACACAGTGCACAGTGACTCGGATTCCCGGGAGACAGGTCCACCCTGGTTGGGATGTGGCCCTGGGCAGGACTTACTCTTGTAGTGGGCCACCAGCTCCTGCAGGGTGCTGAAGGTGCTTCGTGGGGAGATGTAGAAGCCCCCGTTGTCCAGGGTCCGGATCTTATAATGTTTCACTGTGTCCCTGTGCTGGGGGTCGTAGTCTCGCACGGACAACGAGTAGCTCCCTGCATTGGCAGAGAGAAACCGCTAAGGAGTGGGACCTCTGAGGCCTGCCACTTCATGTCAGTACCCTGGCACCCCTTCTGGGCATCCCTGTAAAGCCACCGCTGGCACCATCCTGGCAGTGGAGCACAAGGGTAGGAGTGGGCTGCAGCTTCAGGCTGCCTGGGTTCTCGTCCAGGCTCCTCCATGTCCAGCTGGGAGACCTTGGACAAGTGAGCACATCACCCCTCTGTGCCTCAGTTTCCTCATCTGTAAAATGGGATTGGTCATGAGACCTTCCTATCTTATCACATTGCCTGATAATTGAAAGAAGTAATGCTTGTAAAGTAGTCAGGATATAAACACTCAGTAAACTGGCTGTCATCATCATCATCATTATTATTATTATTATTAATTATTATCTATCTATCTATCTATCTATCTATCTATCTATCTATCTATCTATCTATCTATCTATCTATCTAGTGTGGGGATTGCTGGGTTACCTTTGGTGGTCTCGCTGTCCCGGATCATGAAGGAACCCAGCACGTTGCCAGGGGCCAGGAGTTGGCGCTCTGCATCCTTCCGGCTGATGCCCTTGAAGAACCACCTGGTGGGAAGGGGAGGAGACACAGCCTGTGAACCCCGGGTGCGCAGTCCTGTCCCACTGACTGGGGGCCCCAAGATACCGAGGGCCTGGCTTCCTGCAGCATCAATTTTCCTCAAAGATTCTTTTGGGGAAAACAATGCTTCTTTTAATATTAAAACAGACATTTTACCAGAGTTTAATCCAGTTTACTGAGACTGAAACTTATGCACGTTGGGGAGTTTTCTTTAAGAAAAATAACACACCATAACAAATACAAAATGCCAGGGCTCATTCCAACAGCACCCAGTAAGAGGGGTAAGGCGATGGACAGAAAGACTGAGTACGAAGATACAGCAGCCTTAACCAGCTGTGGTCAAAATCTTACTTTTGCAAATTTTACAAGAACACATGACATTCCTCTAGGGGCCTCAAAGGCCTATGTGAGTGAGGGTCTGAGCTTCATCAGCTTCACAGTTTACCCTCCTCTGTGTAAACAAAGTCAAATGTAAAATCAGCATGAATTTCTAAGCAAAAATGTGAGATTTCAAATAATTTTATACTTGGGATCATATCCTTGGATCTTTTCTTCATTCTCCCAGAATACTTGGGGTATAAGGTTGGAAAGTTCAAGCAGCAGCAGCCAAATCCATTTTCTCCCTCAGGAGGGTGAGGAGTGGTTCATGTGCTGTGATGGAAAAAGCCCCAGACCAGAGGTCAGCAGGCTTTGGCCTTGCCATGAAACTGCTGTGTGACTTTGGGCCAGCTGCTTTTCTTCTCTGGGCTTCTGTTTCCTCTGTATCAACTACAGAGAAAGACAGCTGACGTTCACCACCCAACAACTCTGTGCAGTTGTTGCCCTTATTGTCTCCATTTTATAGATGAGGAAACTGAGGAACAGAGAGAGCAAGTAACTTGCCTGGCATTGTGCGGCTGGGAAGTGGTGGCGCCAGGCTTCGAATCCAGGCAGTCTAACTCTAGGGCCCAAGCCCTTCATCACCAGGCTACACTGCCCCCTGCCCTGCCTTCTTGATTTCATTTTGTAAAATGATTCATGCCATAGGAAAGTAGTCAAGCACTGCTGCAGGGTACACAGCGAGAACTATCTCCCTGGCAATTCCATCCCTAGGACGTTATTCCTCAAACCTTGCACAAGGAAGAAATGCTAGTGAGAAGTGTTCAAAGGGGAATAAGAGAGTCACAAAGGGGACCCGCTTTAGACAGGGTGATCAGGGAAGGCCTCTCTGAAGGGTGAGACCTGAAGGGTGAGAAGGAGTGAGCCAGGCAAAGAAGCCTAGGAAGGGTGTGCCAGGTGGGGGGATGGGGAGTGCAAAGGCCCTGGGGCGGGAACAAGCTGTGCTCAGGCTTCCTTCAGGAGGGCAGGAAAGTGGAATACTTACTCCTCCGTCTCCAGGGAGTCAATGCGGGCGACGTAGTTGCTCGGGATATAGCCCTCTTTCCTGGTGGCCAGGGACCGAGCCTTCCACCACTCCCCAGACCTAAGGGACAGGAGGAAGAAAAGGAATCAGGGGGGTAGAAGGACTACCCCTTGGTCCTCTTGGGCCCCTCAGCCTTGGTCTAGAGTACCCCCTGAACATACCCCATGATTAGGGTAAGGATGTTTACAACAGTCCCCACTATGCATCTGAGGGCCTGCCATCAAAGCCTGTCCCTGCATTCACAGCCCCCAGACCTAGGTCTGTGGCCCACTCTTTTTTCCCTGGACTTGCAGCCTTGCCTTCCTAGCCATACCCAAGGTGGGCCCTGTGCCCATGGCAGGCTCTAGGGCTTTGGCTTGGGCCAAGAGCCAGAGGGAGTGGGCTCAGGAGTCTGAGCAAGCATAGCCACATTCTGGCCCCCCCACATCTTGGACACTACACCCACTGATGGTGAAGATTGGAGGAGATTGGAGGCAGCAAACTCAGAGATCCAAGGATTTCTGAATGCACAGTCACCTCAACAGGGTCTGGTCCACAGAGGAGCCTACCGCTTGATCACAGGAGCCCGAGGAAGGCTTCCCTGGGAAAGCTCTTTGAGCTGTTTGTCCTTGCCTGGATGCACACCATTAGTAACTACACAGCCCCTTTACTGTGGCTCTCACACTGGTTAACAGCCAGGCCTTCCTCCTCTACTGTGATCAGGTTCTCATCAGTCATTCACACCCTAGTATAAGGTTGCCTACCAGGTTCTTTATTGAAGTGCAAAAGAGTATAACTGGGTACTGGGTGTAGGTATGTCTTGGGGGGAGGGGAATGACTCACTCCTCCAGGACCACCATCTGGTCTCCCTTCTGGAAACTGAGGTCTTCACGGTGAATGGCCTCGTAATCATACAGGGCAATCACGATGATGTCCTCGGGACCTGCTGGGACGAGAGACACACGGGGTAGTGAGGCTTTATCTGGGTGCCCCCACAGCCCTGGGCGTGTCCCACCCCAACACCTGGCACCCGGCTCTGGGCCCATGGACATGTCTGTCTCTGTATAAGTAAGCATCTTGCAGTGCTGGGTGCGATTCTACAGTTCAAGGCTAACAGTGTTTTGTTCATGTTATTAAACAATGTTACAGAAACACAACAGCCTGTATGAAGAACTTTGGTGGCAATTTAGGGGATTTTTCTTTTTTCTTTTTTAAAAATATATCTTTATTGATTTCAGAGAGAGGACAGGAGAGGGAGAGAGAGAGAGAAACATCAATGATGAGAGAGTCATTGATCGGCTGCCTCCTGCACGCCCCCCGACTGGGGATCCAGCCCGCAACCGGGGCATGTGCCCTGACCGGGAATTGAACCCCAATCGCCTGGATCCTAGGGCGACGTTTAACCGCTGAGCCTCGCTCGGCAGGGCAGGGGATTTTTCAAGGGTGGTTTTGACTGGGACTTTTGCCTCAAGCTCTGGCTGAAAACCTACATATCACACGGCTCCACTGCACATGTTTGCCAGATACTTACCCTCCGCGGACCCCGTGGGGTTGCCGTTGCTGGTGTCAAGTCGCTGTGGGGGAGAAATAGGAGAAGGGGGTGAATCCAATAGTGGGTGGGGAGCCACAGAATGCCTGTGTCAAAAAGGATACCCAAAGGCCTCTTAGCCCAGCCCTGTGTGTCATGGGAGGAGGTCCAGAGAGGGCAGGGGATGTGCCTGAGGTCACACAGCACATTAGGGATACAGCGACAACAAGAATCTGGAGTTGTGGGCTCTGCCCTTGGCCTTGGACATACTGGGGGACACTGGCTTGCCTCTTCCCCTTGACATTCGGTGAGGGGGCTGGTCCAGATCCATGTTTTCCAAGGTGTGCTTGAAGGAACCCTGGGTCCACCAACACGTTCTATGAGTAAAGGCTCCATGATGTGTGTGAAAGAATCTAAGTGTCTGTCTCAAGGGGAACTGGCGCCTACACTGTGGCGCTCTAAGCAGCCCTTATAAGAGGGAGGTCAAGCTTCACTCCTGACTCAACTAGACCTCAAAGATATATTGTTGAGTGAACAAAGCTACTTCTTTGGAAAATGCATACACACGCATCCCAAATACTTTCTGTGACACATGCTATGTATGTGTGAATGTATATTCATTTCAAAGGTTCACAAGGGTCCTTGACAGACTGACAACAGTTGATACCTGGGGGGG